CAAAAATAAATCTGCCAAATTATATTGAAATCGGTTCAGATTTGGATATAGCTCCCATATATATTTTCGGCCGATTTAATGCATTTGATGCCCCAAACACGATATGAATGTTCGATTCTAATGAAATTTGGAATGTTTAACGGGATTTGATCCGAAAATAAATTTATCAAATTATATTGAAATCGGTTCAGATTTGGATATAGCTCCCATATACATTTTCGGCCGATTTCATGTATTTGATGAACCAAACACGTTATGTATCTCTAATTTCAATGAAATTTGAAATGTGTAGCGGAAATTAAAACGAATATACATTTGTCAAATTATATTGAAATCGGTTCAGATTTGGATATAGCTCCCATATATATCTTCAACCGATTTCGTTTATTTGATGCACCAAACACGATATGTATGTTCGATTCCAATGAAATTGGGAATGTGTGACGGGATTTTGATTAGAAAATAAATTAGTCAAATTATATTAAAATCGGTTCAGATTTGGATATAGCTCCCATATATATTTTCCGCCGATTTCACACATTTGATGCACAAAACACGATATGTATTTCCGATTCCAATGAAATTCGCCATGAGTGACTAAATTTGGTACAAAAATAAATTTGATAAATTCGCTCAGATTTGATATTTGATGCATCCAAAGCGAGAGAGACGAAATCTGGCACCAGAAAAAATTGCCAAATTATATTGAAATCGGTTGAGGTTTGGGTATAGCTAACATATATATTTCGGCCGACTACATACATGTTATGTACAAACACGATATATATGACCGATTCCAATGAAATTCAGAATGTGTGGCGGAATTTGGTTATAATAAAAAATGTGATAAATTAATTGGAAATAAGTTAAGATTTGGATATAGCTCCCATATATATATATTCTCGGCCGATTTCACATATTTGACGCACCAATTTCAATGAAATATGAAAGTTGTGACGGAATTTGGTGTAAAAGTAATTTTTTAAAATTATATTTAAATCGGATCAGATTGGGATATGATTTTAATAAGAACCATTGGCCCAAAACGACATAGGCTAACACTAAAAAACAACACAACATTTAATTTGAAATACGCTTATTACGGGGAAGTATGTCGCTACCTCGAATTCACTGATTGGTATTTGCTATGACATAAATAAATCCGTAGGACAAACCCTTCGTGTATGCATGTCATGTTACTGCTGTTCTAATGCTTTTGTTTATTAACGCATTAAAGTAGTGCAATATTTTTTTTTTAATTTTTAAATTTGTTCTTTTTTTTATCCAACATATATTTGTAAATAAAATTTTGAATGCATATAAAATCAAAAGGGGTAGCGAAGCGCACCGGGTTCAGCTAGTAGCTTTTAAAACAAATTTATAATCAAAAATATCTTTTGCTTCCTTTTTACACAAATAGGTTTTTCTTTTTCACCATATAATGGATTTTCATATCATCTTGCATCTAAGGACATTGTAGGAATACCGTTAAAATGATGAACTTTTACTGAGCACAGACTTGCCGTCTGAAATATAACCTGCAACAATGGCAAGTAATTTCCGATTGCGCTATAAAGTGATAATCAAAAAAAAAAAAAAAAATGTTCAAGTCTTAACTGCGAAAACAATATTTTCAATATACGGTTTTATGTTTTTTTATTTATTTATTTATTTTTCAACATTGCATGTGTCCAACTGTTTTGTCCACCACTGTATGCATCGTAGGCCAACAGATGCATAAACTCGATAAAGTGATCTTGTATGTGAATAGGTCCGTAACAAATAAAATGCAAATTGTTCTGCACGCAACAAGGAAGGGTTCAGCAAAGGAAAAGAGAAATTTGCTGACGTTGGATAGTGGGAGGCGTGGAATCGAATTTGCCCACAGTTTGTGTTTATATTAAATATTCGAAGGAAATCGTCAAGTTCTTTTTCGTACATACGGACATGTCCAGGAGGGCGGTGTGTATCTGTGCCTCATAAAATGGCAAATGAAATTCATAACATATAACATCTTGTGGTGGCTTCCGTTAGCTGCGTTGCTACTGCTTCACTCGAACAGCAGGAGTTGCACAAGTGGAAGTAGAATGTGCAGCAAACGGAACGAGTCATGAGAGGAAAAGGGAAAAAGGCAAAGCAATTGTTGTGGCATAATTTGTGGCCATTGAATGTGCACGGGGGTATGTAGTGCCAGGCAAGTTTCCTCATCTCCTTTTGCTTGTCAGTGGGTGTTAGGGCCAGGAGGTGTAGTAATGTGCTCCTAAATCGGAGAAATGTATAGCCAGTTGTGTTGCACTTATTTCGTATGCAGGAATTGTATTTTGCCATTTTGTTTAGATTTCTTCTTGGATTTCTCCCTTGGAGTATACCCTAAATATATGTTGTTTCATAGCAATTTCGAGCAGTTTATTTGGGCTTTTATGTCTTCATAACGTTGCGTCTGCGGGCTGCAAAAATGGTTATTGCCTAAATGCATTTCGAAATGTAAATGTTTGTTATAGGTAAAACGGACAGCTATACAAATGGAATATAGTTATCCTGCAAACTGCGTATCAGTCCAAGGCAATGGAAAACATCCAGATTACGGCGTGTGAAAGAATTGTAAGAGTTCATTTTCGTACTTTTTGCCATTTTTTGGCTGAGCTCTTTTATATAAACTATAATAGGAGTTCGTCTTCCTCCTTTCAAGTGTAGATATGGATTTACAATTGGAAAATATTAAAATGTCCAACATTTTATAAATTCAATATTTTGGGTCTTTGGAGTCATGGAGGTGTTTCATGCTCAAATAAACTCGTATGTTATGAAGGTTGTTTACAATACTGTAAGGGATCGCGTGTGGCATGTAACCAAAAAAATTGCATGTGAAACACCATTCGGAACCATAGATATTACAACTACTTCATTAACATGACTTCTGCTTGCCTACTTGTCGATTAGATTTTGTAATGAGGTCACTTGTTTGTTGGCGGTTATGCATATGTCTGACCCGCATTTGATTGAATTTGCTTAAAACGGAATTGCCAAAATATCCCTCCACTTTGATTTAGGAAACCATTCAAAGTCTAAATTCCTGAAGACGTGGCCGAAAATACAGTTTAATTTTAAGTTATGTTAGCAACCACTTGAATTTTTACTTGGGTTCATAAAGGGTTAATTGAATCAAACTGAAATATCAATAATTCCAAGTAACAATTCCGTATAAAATTCAGAGGTTAAAGCTTATTTGTAGCGCAATTTCTGGGAAGGACGTCCCAATCGCTGCGACGATACGATGCTGTACCACTTTTGTACTCGCAAAAAAACATACAAATTAATATATCAAAGGAGACACAAGAGATCACTCCCTTCTTGTTCCTAAAGCTAAATAAAGGAGACATAAGCAATGTTTGTTAGTCGTAATGAAGAAGTGCTGAAGGTCATGTCTACATAAGTGTTGTGGAGACCATATGGAAAGGAAATCTTCTAAGATAAGGAAGTACCAGTTTCAGCTGATACACATAGTTGACGTAGAGCAAGAACTGTTTTTACACCGTGGTACAGAGTATTACGTATGTACATTGGCTTTTAACAAGCAGCAGGGGACTTTACAGATCTAGAAAGTACTTCTGAGCCGATCTTTAATATAAAGGCCAGAAGAAGTATTTGTGCTAAATTTAGTTGTAATTGGTTTAGAAGCGCGACAACAGTGGCGATAACAACCATGCAATCGGACATCATATTGACATATTTGTTTAAGTTTCTGGTGATTTCACTTTAATTCTACACAAATATTTTCCTAAATTATGTAGAGTGGTGGAGAGTGTTTTATTCAGTATCTATTTTCCTTTTTAAGGGATTGCAGATCTAGAAACCAATTTCACATTGCAGAAGTAATATTTTAAAATAATGACTTACAGTTCGCCACGACTTCTTGAGCGAAGTTGATGTTATAAAAATTATTTTGTTTAAGAATCGATTTTTTTTACCGTGCTGCCGTTGCCAAGAAAAATTGTTTAAGTAGGCAGAGTTAGGAAAGCTTATGTTCACAGCAAAAAATGCCTTTCCTTCGACGAGAATAGTTGATACAGCAACCGAATATGAAGTGCTGTTCAAACATTACACCTACGCTCCAGAATGTTTGCTATTTAAACACAGAAGCAGCATCTGTGCAAACACACACCTTAACTCCATGATGCTTAAATATAAACACTGTGGACAAAATGTGACAATTTAAGCGAATGTATATATTACGAAAGTTAAAGAATTTTCTGCAATTTTCATTCCGGAAAATTTAAATTTAATTCCTGGTCAATTCGTTCCAAAGTCTACTATTGAGAAATTCGAACTCATGCAACATATCTTCGTATGCAATGTTTGTGTTTGACGGCTTTGAGTCGATGGCGTCTCTTCAAATAGTCTAATACTTTTTTTAAGTTATTCATTTTCTTATTTTCAAAAACTTCTGAAGCATGATAAGAGAACAACCAATGAGGAGACCCTTTCATCGGAATGTATGTACGAGGAAATTGTTTGACATTAACTTGTCACCTCATCATGGTCTCCATTCGGACATCCCATGTTTGCTCTCATTTCATATCTACGCCCGTTCTAACCTGTCTAAAGCGTGTGTATGACATCATCATAATGCTGACGCAAACTATTTGCGAACATTTGAATGCAGCCGTATCCTCCTGAACCGTGTGTCTGCTTGTGAACGACACCTAAATGATGTACACCACCCTACAATGGCTGTCAATTGCATGTTGGTGTTGTCGTCAGATATCCGTCATTATTACAGCGGGATATATTGCAAATGTGACTGTATTAGACATTGGCTTTGTGTTAAATAGACAATTTAGTATTTCAGTTTGTATTTGCATTGTTGAGACTGTTTTAGGGCAGCTAGTGCTCAACCACACCACCCCACTTATCTATAATAGTTTTGTGCTAATTTGAGAATTTGATTAAAGTCGTGACTGTTTCAAAAGATAGTTTTGGAATCAATAATTAAAACTCACCTGATAATGGGTGAAACGCTGATGTGTCTTTTTTTGGTGTTCCTCATATATTTGGACGATATTTGTTTGACGTGATGTTTTGCCCCAATCATTAATCCTGAATAGCTGTGAATAAAAAAGAAGTATTTTTTATTAATTGTATTGCAATCAGGATTAAATGTAATGGTGTTTAAAATTTGTTTTAATATTATCAATTATGAAATAAACGAAAATGAATGTCTATATAACTTATACGCTCCGTTTTTTTTTTTTGTTAAACGTATGAGTTATATTTCTATTTAATATAACTAATACCCAATGTGGGAGAATTAATTTACGAACAAATACCATTTAGACCGCAATTACCTAAGTATGTAGCGGCTTTCATCAAGCTGATATATAACATGTATATGTTTGAGGATTGCTTCTATTGAAAAGTGAGCCCGTCTTAATTTCATTTGGACCTGAGCATTGGATCTTTTAATAGGAAAATGTAATGTAAATCCTGTTTAATGATTGGCAAGAAATGTGAACAATGTTATATTCCCATGGAATCTCCCTCGGACACTATGCAATAACATAGTTCAACAATGTGGTTCTTTGCTATAATACCAGTTTATTTTACAATACCTTTGTATAAAGGATGTTAAAGGGAATTTTGCAACACACATAGCTTCTGGTTGCATACAAATATGAGATTAGACTTTTGTAAGGTCTGCTAAATTCATATCGTAAGGCATGAAAAATACAAAAACTTTTCTCCGTCAAACAAGTGTGTGGGCACTTGCACGGACATATGGACTGCATTAAATTAATGTCTTATAAACATGCAGATTATTGTTCCTTTCCCGCCATCGCGCATAGTGTTTGTTGCATCGTTAAATTTGAACTGTAAAAACATCCTAAGGAGTCCGAGTACCCCTCAATCGAAGAAAGGTTGAGGGTGTCAAAGCGGCGTACCTGCATTAACATACTAAGCTGGGATTGTTAAATAGCAATCGCGTCAGCTGTGCTGGGAACACTGGTATGTTTAGTGAAGGCGAATGGTACATTCTTCCTTTGAAGAAACATAATTAATGAGGGAAAATTATAAATTTAAAAAGTGTTATCACATTCTAAGTGTCTTCTGCTACCATTTTCCCGCTTTCTGATATTGGGTAATAAGAAGGGATAGTGTTATAAGAAAAGATGAATGAACATTTAATTTTGAGAACGATTTGACCTTATCATTTAAAATTTTATTAGAAGCTCACTTTATAATTGAGAAATATTCGCTGATGAATAATTTCTCAAAAAATGAAAACCTCCCTTCTATTCATATTGTCATATCAATTGAAGACATATTCTTATTCACACAACGTTATTCCAAGGGGATTCACAAATATTAGAATGAAAAAAAAACTCATCCAGTTTCGGCTTAAAACTTTGAAATAACATTTTAATAATAATATTTTCAATATTTTTCAACATCTCCACACAAACCGGAAGTGGAACAACTTGTATTGAGATAAGTCGTCAATACTATCTCGCAGCCCGAACCCGAATCTCCACCACCTTCACCAAACAATTGACTGAGAAATACTTGAATACCATTCGAGACAGACAACGCAGACTTGTATAGCTGTTGGCAAGTACCATTTTAAAGGCTATTTACTTCATTCGAAGTTCACTTCAGTCAGAGCAGCAGCTTAAACACTAAAGCGCCAGTAACAGCGCACAAATATAACAACAAAAGTAAAAGGATATGTCGAAGTGCAAAGAACGAACAGAAAAAAATGAACAGAAACTATTCAGAATCATAGAACGAAATCTATTTTGATATTTTATGTAACAATAACGGAAACGAAGTAAAAATAAATACGGAACAATGACACACACACACATTTACACAACCAGAAAAAGGAAATGTCCAGGCAGACATTGCGGCGCAAACCAGACTCATTCCAACCCGATTCAGTTACGCCAAAGCTTGGCACCCGTTGCTGAACTCATTTTTCCATCGTTCCTCCACAATAACAATTATGAGAATAAGAATAGAATTGAAAATTCAATAAATATTAATGACTGTGATTTTCAATAACCAAACCAGAAAATATACGATCTTTGTGAGTAGGTATTTGGCGAAATGTAAGAAAAATGTAAAGCCAAAATACTAAAAAATACAACGGATTTTGAGCGGTAAGAAGAGCCAGGGAATCGACAAGGATATACACATTATTCCTGTCTATGGTCGATTCAATTTCATAAATCGGATAGTTGAAAAAATTAACTAACCTTAAAAGTAGATAGAAAAGGATACTCTTAAAATAGTCGTAACAGTAACCATCTTTCGAAAGTAATAAACAATATGAAATTCCACAATTTATAAACTCGAACTAGAGGCGATTTAAAAAAGGATTATCCTTCGGCATCAATCACCTATGTCGCTTTTTTCGCTCTTGCGTCATGAAAATGCAACAGTTTTCCAATTAAAGTAAATGCCCATAACGCATAGTGTGTCTGCAACACTTAGAAGAATAATTATTGTATTTGGTTTGGCTAAATTGTTGGCAATTGAAAGCCATAAAATGCCAACTTGTTTGTTCGTTAGTCCTGCCCCGCCATGGCGTTTCGTGACTTCTGTGCGAAGGGGTGGGGTCTGGTAGAAAACTTGAATAATTTAATGCATCGCCATGGAAAGTGTGATACAATTGCCACTAGGGCTATTATTTGTTAGGGAACATATTTCAAGTCCTGCAGTTGCATTAGATAGATGCCGACCGACCGACCTATTCCTCTCCCATTCGGTGCGAGATTGTTGCAAGTTCTGTATTTTGACATTGGCCAAACTGTGTGCTGCTGCCCCTTTAGTTGCATTGCGGATGCCAAGTGTTTGTAAATAAATCTTGTGGTATATCCCTGCCATTGGCTAAGCCATTAAAATGGCTGCTGCACTGCTCCTCTAGTCGAGAAGCGAGTTATATTTTTTTGGCCTCGGCTGACTTTGCCTTGCTGTGCAGTGCGGCTTCTGTAGGGATCTTTGCCAGGGAAGTGGCAGCGTTCGCTGTCAATGTATCATGACAGATGGCATTATCTGTAATAATTTTCAATTTACCACGGAGTTAATGTTCTCACACATAAATAAATAAAGTACCCCACACATCCATACACACAGGGATACGTACTCTGTTCTCTGTTCGGCCAGACCATTATTAGTATAACTACGATATTTGTTTTGTTGTTGTTGTTGTTTTTCTTTTTGTCCGGTGGTGCGGCTGCCTACTGTTATGACAACCATAATATTGGGTTTAATGGATGACTTCTTATCCACTTGCTGTTGTTCCAAAGCAGCTGAGTTAGCTGAGCGCTGTGACATACAAAATTTAGCAAATATGACCAACGTAAATAAATAGTTTTCCATATCGATTCGGCATTTTCATTTGTTTTAGATGTTCATAATATTTATTTGATGTTTCAAAGGTCCCTGTATTTGGGCGTTTTGTCAGAAGAAAGTTCTGAAGCTATATCCTTGACAGAAGATATGCTGACTTTTCCTTGGTGTTGCTGAGGATTATTTTTTATCAGTACACTAAGACAATTCGTTTTGTAAGCAATTTGAATTGTGTGTGTGTTCTTCGCGTTTCCTGCGTCTGTATCTGTCCAACCGTGTGCCGACCAAACCCGATAAGGTTTTTTTATTTTTTTTTTATTTTGGCTCAATGTTATTCCTTAGTAATTTCTGTAAAAGCACAAACACACTTGCATGCGGTCGCCGGTTGGTCGGCAGCTTTTGGAAAAAGTGTGAAAGCCCTACACCGTAAATCAAAATTACGATAAACAGACCTGATGGCGTCTGGCAATTTGCTTCGTTGGGCACCTCTTGATCATGAAAAACCTGTAAAGAAAGTTAAAAAATTGACCAAGCTTTTCCATTTACATTTCTTTTCCTGAGCGGACAATTAACAAAATGAATTCTCATTTAAAACATGACATGCTGCTATTGAGACAGCGCAATGTGGGAAAAGAGCATAATTAAGAAGATTGGAATGTGTTATTGTAAGCTATAGAAAATTATGCTTTATATCCCCAAGTATTTCAGAACAAAACAACCTGAAACCAAACTTTATTTTTTTTAGAGAAATCAAACTATTTTTGAAGTGAAACTCTCTACAAACGCGAATAATATCGTTCAGGATTGAGTGTCACTCTGATAAATATATATATTTTCCTCTCTGAATTAGGTACACTCTTTGAAAATAAATATCCAACATAAAAACAAACCTATTAGACATCTCTGTAAGCATTCAGTTTTAAACAAAATATATAAATTTAATTCTGAAAATATTAAACGAAATGAGTATTGTGAGTAGGTTCCTATTTTGCTGCTTAGGACTCTTAACTTTGCGTAGCCGTTTTCACCTATTCAGTGTTATTTGAAAATAAAATGCAAGGAAACTGCGACTAACATTGAGTGTGTGTTCACAATAAAAATTCTGAAAGAACTTGGAACATTGTTTTCCCAAATGAACGCACCATTAATCATTCAGTGTCAGGGATTAGTTTTAATGTTCGAAAGTAAATGAAAGAGAAAAGGAGCAAAGAAAAATAATAGTGCCAAGTCAACTTCAGCCCTTTTGCAATGTGCAATATACATGGGCAATATTTTAAATAAGGTTGGTGCATCTAAGAAAATGTGAGATTTTAAGACCTAATATTGGTACCAAGTACTTCATTTTGAGAACTTGGCCTATAACACTTAATAAGGAGTAGGGTAGGCTACAATTTGAGAAATGGTTACCCACGAAAATACCTGTTCGGATATTTATTTCGAACTAAATCAAAACCGTTTCAAGCACTTCCGCTTCTATGTCCGAATCTAAATACGTGTGTATATGTTGTTATGTTACCCTCATTCAGTGAACGTTCATATGCGAGTACACATAGGGCCTTACATAAAACGATAACGAATCATTTGTCTACAGGTCGTTCCATCTGGTGTAAGTCATTATTTCAGCACTTGTGCAACAAATGCACAGTCCTGACTCGAGGAAAGCAAAGACAACTTTAACTTTTAAAGAGAGCGCACTAGGGACCGTTGAAGGATATTGGACAGAAGTAATTTGCATATTTTATAATTTGCCACATGA